ACTGAGCTTTTACAGCCTCACATTCCAAATAGATCCCTGAGATCTGTAAATCAAAAGCTTTTAGTTGTTCCCAGGTCTCGGCTTGTGACCAGGGGAGACGGAGCCTTTTCAGTTGCAGGACCTCGGCTCTGGAACAACCTCCCACTGTCTGTGAGGTCTGCTGGGTCTCTGAATGAGTTTAAGTCTCTGTTAAAACTCATCTGTTTAAACAGGCATTTGAGTCTGAAGAGCAGGATCATTAGGACAGCCTTTGCTGTTTTGTTGGATTTTATTGTTCGTTTTATTACTGTAYTTTGTTCATTGTTTTTATTTTATGCTCCTGTACAACACTTTGGTTTTTATTGTGCTTTATAAATAAACGATGATGATGATGATGATGATGTGCAGTACTATCGTCAGAACCTGTCTGAAGTCTTGTTTTGTGTTATGATGAGAGTCATCTGTTCCTCTTTTTGCAGTTTTCTCATCAACTCCTGGTACACCTTTTAATTTGACAAAACCTTGTGGGTAGTGTAATGATGAGGGGTTGTTCATACTAGCTATGTTTACATGCACAAATATTTTTTAACAGACTGAAATGCATTTGGATTAAATAATCMGAATGCCCAGAAGTGACTCAACATGAAAAAGGTCATGAGTAGAATGGAAGTTTACACATCTATAACTTTAAATTATTTATTTTACTTATCAGAAAACATATACAATATTTTTTCGAAACATTTATAACAATTTATTTTGTTTTTTATTTATTTTTTATTTTTGTGTACCAAAAATAGTGGTGGGGCGGCGCCGTAGCGCCCCCTATTGACCAGCCGCCACTGCTTTTTGTCCACTTCTGAATTGATTTTCAGATTTTATTGTTTTTAAAACTCTGACTCCATCTTACTTATGTAGTCTTCTTGACATCCAGTAAGAAAACTTGAACTACCAACCAGTTTGTGTCAGATGTCTCTGAATCCACTCTGAGCATCAGAAGTGATTAGGGCTGTGTATTGGCAAGAATTTGGCGATATGATACATATCATATCAGAGGGGTCAGGATACGATATATCCCGATATATTGCGATACTGTAAGCAAGGCAATATATTGCGATATATTGCGATTTTTTTGTCCAAAAATTCTATTAAATAAAAACCTCTAACTGAAAAAAAAAAAGAAATGCTAATGTTTACTTACAATGCTAATGCTACCCTTACTCTCTGGGGCTCAAGAGGTAGAGGAGCCAAATGGCTGGCTCACTGCTGCCAACTAGTGGTCAGAGGCTGAACTACAACATAAAAATGAAAGGTTGGCAAGAAGGTTGACATTTAAAATCTTAATTAAAAAATTGATACAGGGCTTTAGAATATTGATACAGTATCGGGAAATGAAATATCGCGATATTTCAGTGTATCGATATTTTCTTACACCCCTAGAAGTGATGAAGATTTTGTGACTGCAGCCCTAAAACTGTAGAACAGTTCAGCTCTTCATACAGAGACTGAGTCTGTTGAGATGATTCTCTCTGGAGTTTGAGGTTCAGTTAGAACTGATGGTTTTTATTGTGTTTCTGTGTTTTATTTTAACTTGTGTTTTCATGACACAAGAAGAGTTCTCATGTTTTCTTGTAGTTTTTCATTTGAATCATAAAGCACTTTGTTGTTTTTTTATGTTTTAAATAAATTGACACGTCACTCTCAAGGCCARTTTCCTAAAAGTGAAAGTTCAGTAAAGTTTTTATTTATTTATTTATATTATGTAAAAATGTTTCTAATAAATAATTTATAATTCAAATTCAAACTTGTTTCAGGCGTGTGCTGCACCAGCATCAGTAACTTTGAAGAGGCCAGGCGGAGCTACGGGACCGATGAGGACATCCTCTTCATCTTCAAGGAGAGCTGATGGACGTCCAGTCGTCACCCCCCACCCCCCGGCTGCTCTCTCCGCGGCTCGTCTGCTTTTGAACATTCACACACCAAAACGACTCGCCCTTTGAAGTCGTCTCAGCGAGGAGAGTTAAAACTCGAGGAACTTTTTATTTTTCTCTCTCTCGTTGTTTAAGAGGAGCGGATGGTTCAAATGAATTTTACTGTTTTTGTTGAATTTTAATGACTCTTCAGGTTCCGTCAAGTGTGTCGTTACACTCTGAGGCTCAGAGTTGAGCAGCTTTGGATGAAATTTGGGAAACATTAGTTTAGAATGTGAAAACCCAGGAAATCTAGCGTGCACACRATTCAGGGCTTCTGGCTAAACGACAGTATTGTGCGTTGAATCTATTTTGTGTTTTGTGTCGACGTGAAGCTGCTCATCTCCAGCCCTCAGCCTCTCCTCTTACTGCCTTTTTAAGAAACTCACTTTTAATTGAAACGAGTCGATCAACAGGGAAAACGGGAGCGGTGGTGTTCGGGGGTCTCAGGTAATCAGCGTTCTGACGTGACATCAGTGCAATAGTTGTTTGTGTATCTCAGTGCCAGCAGAAGAACATAACCAGACTGAATGAAGTGTTTGTTCGTCGCTCATCCTCCCGCTTTGTGTTCTGCTGCCGTAATAACGTGTTGGATGTCCTTAACACTACTTTCCTTTTCATCCCTCAGTTTTAGTTCTTTGTTTTAAAGTTACAGTCGTGGAAACTTTTGCACTACATTTTTCAAACCAGACACGATGCCGTTGTTTAAATTAAAATGCTTTAAAATCATCTTTGGTTCTGCTTTTAAACCTTTTTTTTTTTTTAATCCTGTAATCATTTGTCTGTCGGTGTGTTAGCAAAATATCCCATGAACCACTGGGATGATTCTAAATAAACTCAAAGTAATCCTCGGACGTCCATCTAATTAACTACTGGAGTGAACAGAACAAACACTGAGGTGTGGTAGTAGCTGAGAGTCATCCTCTAACAGCTCACACGACAGCTTTGTTTCAAAACTCTGTTGAAGGTGGCAGGAGTTAATTAAGACGTGTTTCTTTTTTATTTAACAAACATTTAGTTCATTTAAAAGAGAATTAAAAGAATGAAACGTTGCACCTTTTATTCTCTGAGTCCAACACAGTTTTATTTTTTTATTTTTCGTCCTTCACAGGTGTTTATCAGAACAGGTGTGTTCAGACTGAGACTCGGTTTGCTCACAGGTGGATCTTCTCTAACTAATGTGTTTTCTGGAGGTAATGGTTAAAGCAAAGCAGAGAAAGTGCACTCAGTTTCTCAGTTTCAGATTTTTCATCATTTTTAGTTTCATTTTAACCCACCATCGAAGGTGAAATATGGACAATGTTGCTTGTGTCGTGTGTTCATTCAGCTGTTAGTAAAATATCTTGTGAGCCACTCAAACAGCTAATTAACCTTAGATTAAACTAACTCCGTTTTATATATATTAAATCTAAATTTAGGTGTGGTAGCTGAGAGTTCCCCTCAACCAGTGGTGGGCACAGTTCCCCTAAAGCACTAATTTCCTGATTAGTGCTTTAGGGCTTTTGCTAATTTTAAAATTTATTGGTGGATTAGCACTTGGTAAATTTAGAAGCACTAACTGAGGTCTATAAATGTTATTGATCAACATTAATGTTAACAGCTGAGGGTGAAAACTGWCACACATTTTGTTCATATGAGTGTCACTGATCCACCAGGTGACATATTGACAATATATGAACCAAATACAGCTGTGGAATGTCAATGATAAGTTTTAAGAGAACAACATGACAACATGTGACTCATGTTGTCTGTTGAAGAATATTCATGGGTTGACTGGGTTATTTTAGTGCTTTAGAATTAGGGGACCTAAATATTTGAGTTAGTGTTTTAGGGTTAGTGGAACTAATTTTTAGATTAGTGCTGCCCACCATAATGCAAATTCAAAAGTAAACATCATTTCCAAAGCTGTAGTTTCATTTTTTTCATCATAATTTCTTAAATGTTTGCATTAAAGGCAGCAGATACTGTGTTCTATGGATCCGTTACTAATTAAACTGAATTATATTTTAGGTTGTAAAGCAACAAAACAAGAATATCAGTGTGGTTATGAATAATCTGTTGTAACATTCAGAACTAAGAAACTTAAAACTATAAAGCTTTTTAAATCTAAAGCTTTTAAT